TATTATCAAATAAAATTTTATTTAAATATTTTAAAATTTAAAAAATATAAATCATAAGCATATTTTTAACAATTTTCCAGGCAAATTTGCCTGGAAAAGCTTACAGATTAAGGGATAATATTTGTATAAGTTCTTAACCTACTCTTTTTTTTGTTTTTTATTTATAACATCAAATTTTTTTATTAATAATATTCTTACAAAAAACATCAAGTTGATCATTACAGTAATGTTTTTACAGAAAATTTCAAACTAGTAATTATGGTAATGTTTTCACAAAAAACTTCAAACTAATAATTATAAAGTTTCAAATGCATAAGATTTAATGATATATCAACTAATTGATTAGATACAATAAAATATATCTAATTTATAGAAAATTCGTTAAGGCGAAATAATAACTGCGGTATGATTTTAAAATACTTTTATTAAAAGTAAATGTTCATAAAGCACGATAAATTAAATTTTTTGTTAGAAATTTTATATACAGTGAAAATTTCAATAGTTTAATAGTTACTATATTATAGAAATTTATGTGTTGCATTATTTATGATTGCCAAATATACTAGTTGTATTTGAATTTCGTTTTATATCCCATCATTACATTACTATACTAGATTTTTTTTTCAACGACATTATATTTGCATCCTGATCTATAAGTAGGCAGGCATCTGGTATTGCTTAACCAAATTAAAATTTTTCAGTGAAATAACATAATTGTTTGGTTTGATACAAAATACGTGTTATTACGAAAATAATTCAGTTGTATAATGATTAACTGGTCTGACGCAATTCCATGTGATATTGTTAAAAATAAAAAAGAAAACTGAATCAGCCCGAACCTGTGATCTGGACAATAAGTATATGAAATATAAATAAGAACACTATAAGAACCGGGCAATAAATAGTACAGTCAACCCTCAGTATGTGCATATATAATATAATGCATTTAGAGCATTTATTATCATGCTTTGTAGTTAGACTCCTTTTTAAGAGCATGTTTTATACGTGCACTGATGAGTGCACTTAGAGTCCACTGTACATATTAACCCGTTCTGATCCGAGTTGTAAATTTTTAACACGAGTGAATCGTTTTGATACGGGTGACCCGGTTTGCTATAACCCGGTTCTAACTCTATTCACTTTACAAGATCTATTATTTGTACATGTGTTTGATGCTACTGTTGCTCTTGCTGCTGTTGTTGCTGTTGTTTCTCTTGTTGCTGCTCTTGTTGCTGCTGTTGTTGCTGTTGCTGATGCTGTTGTTGCTGCTGCGACATCAATTTAAATTGCTCGTTTAATCGATGATATTCTTCTCTAAGAGTCATATTTGAAGCTCGATAATCTTCATTTATTAGCTTCTCGCAATAATTAGTTAGTGCTGTTGGACATTTGAGCTGAAAATAATTTAAAAAAGACGGATTAGTGTATGTCACTTCGATATGACAGAATAAAGATATTCGTACTTCAGCTTCTTTTTTGATAAGGTCATTGTATTTATCAAATATCACTTTCCGCTTTTTATAAAATTTCAAAGCAAGTTTAGTTGCTAATAATATAATTATTAAAAGCAATAAGCAAATTTGAAATTAAATTTAAATAAATATCGATAAATTATCGGAAACACACCATCCAAATCTGATGTCTGATAATTGCCTTTAAAATCTTCGTCCGGATAGTCAAAGATGTTATATGGCAAAAGTCTTGCGACAGCATCTTGGTAAGATCGGAATGGTGTTTTATAATCAGGGTTATAAACAGCGATCTGATCGTTCTTTATTGCAGTCTCAAATCTAATAATTCAAATAATCAAATAAGTTAAAATAATAAATAACGTAAAGTTTATTAAATGATTTTATTTATACCTTTGCACCACATTTGTATGATGATTAATTTCTTCAGGTGTTCGTTGAATTCCTATGGAGTTGATTGTTCTTTTAATACCACGTGACATCATTGAACGAGATGCATTCGCTCCATTGGAATAATATTGCGATGTTGAGGTGATATTACTATAGTAAGGAGTCTGAGAATTCGGGTATGTTGAAGAGTAGTATTGTTGTGGATATTGATATTGTGCATCATCTTGTTGCGATCGTTTTTTAGAATATCGACCAGTCTTGTTGTATCTCCGTGTCGTGGATCTCGAAGATCCATCAATATTCATTTGTGAATGTTGGTACATTGATTCATCTGGTATTGGCCTTGTAACGTATGGTGTTGGCAGGGTTGTCGGCTGAATATTGGAGCCCCACTGGACTTCCATATATTTCAATGGTTCTGATAAAAATTTTCACTGGAAAAGTAGGTGAATATACACGTATAATACATACCAAATTTGGGGTAATGTACACACGTGACTTTTTTGTGTAAATTAACCAACCGGAGTTAGCTCGAAGTTAAACTGGGCCCCAATTCTAATTTATATTTAGAGGCCCTTTTTTTAGAACTCTATCAAGAACGGGTATGTAACTCGATTTTTTTCCTACCTATCAAGAATGCAAAAATACTATTCTTGATGATTGGCATATATTTTTTAAGGGTAGTAGATCATTTTCTATATATTTTTTTTTTGGTATTAAGGAGATCATTTTCTATATATGGGGGTGAGTTAATAGAAAACATTATATTTTTTCTAAGTAAATTTTTTTAAACTTTTAAACAAAGGTAACTCAACAACAACTTTATTAAATTCAATAAAATTTTTTTTATTAAATTTGATTAAGTTTTTGTTAAATTAGTTTTGTTTAAAAATTTCATTAAAAATGATATTGTAATAAAATTTACTAAAAACTAACAATTGTAGTAAATTTTAAGAATAAAAGGCAGTATTTTAAAATTATATATAAACCTAATGGTAAATTTTTTTATATTTAATTTTATGAAAAATTATATTAAGTA